GCGGATGCTGATAATGATGGTGTTGATAAAAATGATGATTCTGATGATGCTGGTAATCATGGTGATGTTGACAGTGCTGATGGCAATGATGCTGGTGATGATGATGATGATGATGCTGCTGCTGATGCTGCTGCTGCTGCTGCTGCTGATGATGATGATGATGATGATGATGATGGTGGGCGTAGAGAGGAGGAGGAGGCGGAGGAGGAGGCGGAAAGGGAAGATGATGAGACAGAAGGAAAGAGGGAATGAAAGACACACAGAAAGAATGAAGGAATGCGTGACTCGGGACGCTGTCTCGTCAACACGAAGACCCACCACCGCAAGATGGTTGGGAATAATGTGCAGTTTTCCGCTCCAGATCCGTTTCTGGCGCTTCGGGGCTCCGAAAACTGCCCCCCGAGGCAGAAGTCATCCTGGCGAAGGGCCCAATCCTATGCAGTTGTGAATACCGTTGTGGACATCGCGTTCGGTGGATCTCGTCATGGGGCCACGACGCGTGTAAAGGGTGTGCCAAAATGGGGCGGGGACGCATACGGGCGCAACCATTGGCGCCTTCGGTGGCGCTGCATATGGGGCCACGAAACGTGTGAGGGGTGTCGAAATGGAGCGGAGCCGCCATGCGAACGTCGCCACTGAGGCTTTCGGTGGGGCCCCCTATGGGGCCACGAAACGTTGTACTGAATTGGGGAGACGCATGTGGACACCGCCACTGGGGCCTTCGGCGGAGCCCCCTACGGGGCCACGAAGCGCTGTACTGAGTGGGGTTGACGCGCGCGGACACCGCCACTGGGGCCTTCGGTGGAGCTCCCTATGTGGCCACGACGCGATGTACTTGGGGGGGGGGATGCGCATGCGAACACCGCCACTGAGGCCTTCGGGCCACGACGCGCTGTGCTGGGATGGGGAAGCGCATGCGGACACAACCACTGGGGGCTTCGGTGGACCACCCTGTGGGGCCACGAAACGCTGCACTGGGCGGGGGAAACGCATGCGAACACCGCCACTTGGTCCTTCGGTGGAACTCCCTATGGAGGCACGAAGCACTGCACTGGGTTGGGGTGATGCATGCGGACGCTGCCACTAATGCCTTCGGTGGAACTCCTTATGGGGCCATGAAGCGCTGTACTGGGTGGGGGGGGCCGCATGCGAACACCGCCACTGGGGACTTCGAAGGAGCTCCCTATTGGGTCACGAAGCGTTGTACAGGGTAGGGGGCAGGCCTGCGAGCACCGCCACTGAGGCATTCGGTGGAGCTCCCTGTGAGGCCACTCAGCGCTGTACCGGGTGGGGGTGACGCATGCGAGCGGTGCCATTGGGGCCTTTGTTGGAGCCCGCTATGGGGCCACGAAGCGCTGTAGTTTGTGGGGGAGACTCATGCAGGCGGTGCCACTGGGGCCTTCGGTGGAGCTCCCTATGGGGCCACGAGGCGCTGTGCTGGGTGGGGGAAGATGCACGCAAGCGGTGCCACTGGGGCCTTCGGTGGAGCTCGCTATGTGGCCACGAATCGCTGTACTAGGTGGGGGTGGCGCATGCGGGCGGTGCCACTGGGCCTTCGGTAGAGCTCCCTATGGAGCCACGAAGCGTGTGAAGGATGTCATGCGGAGTGCAGAAGAACGGGTGCTGATAATGATGGCACCGACGACGATGGCGATGACGAGCACGACGCTGTTGGTAATGTTGACGACGATGATGATGTTGATGACGACGATGAGGATGATGCTGCTGATGATGACGTTGATGATGATGACGATGCTGATGATGATGCTGTTGCTGATGCTGATGTGGCTGATGGCGAGGATGGCGATTATGATGATGGTGACGATGATGGTGAAGTCGCTGATGACGATGCTTATGATGTTGAGTTGGTTGATGATAATAATGCTGGCGCTGGGGCTGATGCTGATGATGCTGATGCTGCGGCTGCTGATGATGTGGTTGCTGCTAATGATGCTGATGCGCACGATGCTGTTGATGGTGCTGATAATGGTACTGATGATGGCAATGCTGATGCTGCTGCTGATGGTGCTGTCGATACTGACGCTGGTGATGTTAATGATGCTGCGGATGCTGATGCTGGTGATGCTAATAATGCTGATCATGCTAATCATGGCGATGGTGATGCTGAGGTTGATGCCGACGATGATGCCGCCGGTGATGAAGCTGATACTGCTGGTGATGCTGATGATGCTGGCCATGCCGATTATGCTGCTGATGATGATGATGATGCTGATGATGATGATGATGATGACACTGGTGATGATGGTGCTGCTGCTGATGATGATGATTATGGTGCTGACGATGTTGATGATGATTATGCTGATGCTGCTGATGGTGACGATGATGTTGCTGCTGGTGCTGATGATGCTGACGATCGTGATGATGAGGTTGGTGTTGATGATGACGCGGATGATGATGCCGATGATGCTGCTGTTGATGATGATGCTGGAGGAGGGAGGGGGAAGAGGAAGCGGAGGAGGAGGAGGAGGAAGAGGAAGAGGCTGAGAAATAATAATAAAAAACGAAACTAATGAATGACATCAAGAATTACGGAACGACGGACGGACTGACAGAACGCGTGACTCGGGGCGCTGCCTCATCAAAACGAAGACCCACCACCACACGATGGTTGGTACTAAGGCGGAAGCCGTCCTGGCGGAGGGCCCAACACTATGCAGCTGCGAGTATCGCTGTTGTGGGCATCGCCTTCGGTGGATCTCTTTATGGGGCCACGATGCGTGTAAAGGGTGCGCCAACATCGGGCGTGGACGCATGCGGGCGCAACCATCAGCGCCTTCAGTGGCGCTCCATATGGGGCCACGAAGCGTGTGAAGGTTGTGCGGGAATGGAGCAGGGCCGCCATGCGGACGTCGCCACTGAGGCTTACCACCCCCCCTGTGGGGCCACGACGCGTTGTACTGAATGGGCGAGACCCATGCGGACACCGCCACTGAAGTCTTCGGTGAAGCTCCCTATGAGGCCACGAAGCGCTGTACTGGGTGGGCGAGACGCCTGCGAACACCGCCACTAGGGCCTTCGGTGGAGCTCCCAATGGTGCCACGAAATGCTGCACTGGGCGGGGAAGACGCATACGAGCATCGCTACTGGGGCCTTCGATGGAGCTCCCAATGGGGCCGCGAAGCGCTGTGCTGGGTGGGGGAGGCGCATGCGGACACAGCCACTGAGCCCTTTGGTGGCGTACCCACTGAGGCCACGAAACGCTGCACTGGGCAGGGGAAACGCATGCGAACACCGCCGCTGGGGCCTTCGGTGGAGCTTCTTATGAGGTCACGAGGCGATGTGCTGGGTGGGCATGCGGACACTGCCACTGGGGCCGTCAGAGGAGCACCCTAATGGGGTCGCGAGACGGTGCACTGGGTGGGGGGGGGGGGCGCATGCGAACACTGCCACTCGGGCCTTCGGAGGAGATTCCTATGAAGCAACGAAGCGTTATACTGCGCAGGGGACACGCATGCGAGCACCGCCACTGGGGCCTTCGGTAGAGCTCCCTATGGGGCCACGAAGCGCTGTACTGGGTGGGGGTGACGCATGCGGGCGGCGCCACTGGGGCCGTCGGTGGAGCTCCCTATGGGGCCACGAAGCGCTGAACTGGGTGGAGGTGGCGCATGCGGGCACCGCCACTGGGGCCTTCGGTGGAGCTCCCTATGAGGCCACGAAGCGCTGTACTGGGTGGGGGAAGATGCACGCAGGCGGTGCCACTGGGGCCTTCGGTAGAGCTCCCTATGGGGCCACGAAGCGCTACTGGGAGGGGGTGGCGCTTGCGGGTGGTGCCACTGGGGCCTTCAGTGGAGCTCCCTATGGGGCCACGAAGCGCTGTAATGGGTGGGGGTGCCGCTTGCGGGCGGTGCCACTGGGACCTCCGTTGGAGCCCGCAATGGGGCCACGAAGCGCTGTACTTGGTGGGGGAGACTCATGCAGGCGGTGCCACTGGGGCCTTCGGTGGAGCTCCCTATGGGGCCACGAAGCGCTGAACTGGGTGGAGGTGGCGCATGCGGACACCGCCACTGGGGCCTTCGGTGGAGCTCCCTATGGGGCCACGAAGCGCTGTACTGGGTGGGGGTGCCGCTTGCGGGCGGTGCCACTGGGGCCTTCGGTGGAGCTCCCTATGGGGCCATGATGGTGGCGATGATAATGATGCTGATGCTGATGCTGATGCTGATGCTGCTGCTGCTGCTGATGATGATGACGATGATGATGATGATGATGATGATGATGATGATGATGATGATGATGATGATGATGATGATGATGATGATGATGATGATGATGATGATGATGATGATGATGATGATGATGATGATGATGATGCGGATGCGGATGCGGATGCGGATGCTGCTGATGATGATGGAGGAGGGAAGAGGAGGGGGAGGAGGAAGGTGAGTGACGCGGGCCGCTGCCTCTTCAAGACGAGGACCCAAACACATGATGGTTTGGAAAGGAGCCAAACATGTAGAGCCTCGACACTGCCTGCCCTTCCTGGTGGCCGGAACCAGTGCTCCTGGGGGATCGAAATGGGTACGAGAGAATGGGTACGCAAACTAATCGCAAATCCTGCCCATTTTGAACCGGACTCGCTGTCGGCGTCGCCGTGGGCGATTTCCATTTGAGACAGAAGGCCGCCTGCCCAATAGCGGGCGCTGTCGGTTTGTGACAACACTTGTTGTTGGGCATCGTTGACACTTCTTCCGTACACGTCGTTCATTTGTAATCGTGCTAACTTCTAATTGTGCTCGTTTCTAATCGTTCCTGGCCCCCTCGTGGCCTGGAAGTGGCCCAGGATGGAGAAGAATTAGAAATGAAAGGATCTTGGCCCCCCAAAAAGCAAAGAGCTTTGGAACAATGAGAAATGAACCATGTGTACCCGTGTCGGGCGACCAGAAGTGCTGGGCCGCCTCAGACCCCCAGCTGGCCCCAAGCCTGGGCTCTTCCCGAGGAGCCTCGAATGCCGCCGTCGCCGCCGGAGGCCGCGCGGCTGCGGCCTCCCAAGCGCCGCCGGGGCGCTGCGGCCAGGCCCCCGCCAGGTCCGAGACGGAGGCCGCGAGCTTCTCCGGCACCGGCCACCGGCGGGAGTCCAACTTCGACCACACCTCCGCCGGTAGGGAGGCCGTTTTTCGTCAGGCTCCGGCAAGTTTGCTTGCATGGAGGGGTGGGTGGCGTGGCGAGACCCGAGAACACACATCTGGACTTCACGCAGGTCGGCGCTCACACTTGCACTCCTTTCTGGCCCAGGCGCTGCTTGAAAAGGCGGCGGAGGGGGGGGGATGCCACGCAAGTGAACTTGCCTGAATGTAAAGAAAATCAGCCCCCACATCTTCGACGAGATTATTTCACGGGGACCCGCTACGGGACCCTGGAGCCATCAAACATGGCTCCTGGGAACCGCCGCGCGAGCGTAGTCCCATTTTACAGGGCGGACGTGCCGACTAGATACATCGTATAACCATTGCGCGCCGCGCGATGCCTCCAGGATTTCCCTCATAGGTCATAGGCCCACATTCCCAGCATATTGGACACACGGCAACGGGTTGCTTTCGGCGTCTGGGGCCTCCCCCTGGGCCCCCAATCTGTCGGGTCGAACACTGTCACGACGAACATGCCTATATCCGTGCCTTCAAGATCTGGATGCCGAAGCGCGATCGCGTGGATGCGTTGCGCGCGGGGCATCCGCACGAAGCCGCCATGCACCCAGGGGATCGCGGCCGAGGTGTGGCTTTATTCTCCCGCCCACGAATGAAGAAGATGGAATCCTCGACGCTCGAGGATCGAAAGCAGAGGTTTTCTTTTGAACATTCCTTTGTGCTTCGGGCAGTTCGTTTTGCCTCTGGCGACCTCCTGGGGCTTCCGGGGGACCCTGGGGGCGCCTGGTTGGTCAGGATCTGGAGCAGCAGAACTCGCTGGGTGAATCCAGTGGTCCCATCGGCGTTGCTTCGAGCATCATGTGAAGATCGGTCTGAATTCAGTTTCTGGCAGAGATAATTTCATATATAGCTCAGCACAGGAGGGGGATAAGGGTATGCAGCAGCGCTTCCCCACCTCCGTAGCCATTCGCCTCAGAGGCCCCACATATGGTCGCGCTAGCCACAGAGATGTTTTTATGCATCGTTGCCCTAGGAAAGCGGACTCAGCGTAATTTAGTTGGGGTCGTGGCCCTGGGATCGGTCAAGCCGAAGCTTGGGATCGTTCTGAACAGGCCGCAGATTCAACCATGTACGCCTTCGCCCTCTTGGGAACCTCTTGGGGCTTCATCGGGGCCGATACAGACGTCGTTGCCCTGGAGGCCTACGTCGGGCTGGAGCGGATGGTGTCGAATAGTCGCACCGCCCTGCGCCCGCCTACACGGTCGAAACATGGCCTCTTCGACGAAGGCTCAACACTCCCTCGACGTACCCACAGCGACGAGCATTTCAAAACGGGAAGCACAACCACGAAAAAGACAATGGCCCTCTTCCAAGCCGGCCCTCCGCCTCCTCCTCCTCCTCCTCCTCCTCCTCCTCCTCCTCCTCCTCCTCCTCCTCCTCCTCCTCTGCCAAGCATCACCCAAAAATGAGAGGAGGGGAAACTGAAACAACTCTCCCGCCCGGCCCCCATCCATTCAAAATCGGTCCCCAGACCTCCTGGGGTCTATCCTGGCCTGTTTTTCGAGGCGGGCCCAGCCTTGGCGAAGAGAAGCCTCCAGGAGGTCCAAGAAGGGTGAACATAACGCCATGGGGGGCAACCGCTGTCTCGACTGACCCTCCTCTGAAAATAAACCTTCCCCCAAGGAGCGGCCAATGATCTGGCGGGAAGACCCGCTGAATCCGAGGCTGAAACTGCCACATGGGCTTCGGAAACTCTGAACCAAAACCAAATTGTCATCTCTTGGTGCTGTGGATGGGTTTGCTTCCGCCGCCTTCCACCGTGTTTTTGCTGGCTGAGCCAGCTTAGTTTTACTGCCGCCAGCCTCCGCTGGCCCTCCGCCAGCTTCCGCCGAAACTTGTCGAGCCCTCGAAGACGAGTTCCTCCCTGGATCGCTTCACCCGCCCGCGCCGACGACATCGACGACCACACACACTACGCGACGATGGTGAGGCCAGCGACGACGAACCGACGACGACGCAACGCCAGACGCAGCGACGACGACGACGACGACAGCGGCGTCGGCGGCGCTGGCACGTCCTCGAATGGGCTTGCGCCGCCGCGCGCGCGCGCACGTGCGTGCGCCTCCACGCTCTCGTCGCCCATCGGCGTGGCCCACGACAGCGCCACCTCGAACGCGCCGTGGCGCGGGTAGCGCACCTGCGCGCGCGGGGGCCGCGCGAGGTCGCCACCGGCCGTGGTGACGAGGGCGCGAGGAGCGAGAGGCGGGGGGGCGAGGGACGCGAGGGACGAGGGGGCGAGAGGACGGAGGGGCGAGAGGACGAGGAGGCGAGGGCGAGGACGGCGGACGAGGGGCGCGGGGCGCGTCGTCGCCGGCCGCGGCGACGAGGGCGAGGACGGCGGGCGGCGGCGGCGCCAGGGACGACAGCGTGGCGGCGGGTGGTCGAGCGGCCTCCAGGGGGCAGCAGCTCAGCACGGGCCGACGAACCAGGTCGCCTCGTTGGCGAAGGGGAGGGACATAGGATCGAGGAGGAAGGAGGGAGGAGGAGGAGGAGGAGGAGGAGGAGGAGGAGGAGCAGGAGGAGGAGGAGGAGGAGGAGGAGGAGGAGGAGGAGGAGGAGGAGGAGGAGCAGGAGGAGGAGGTTGGAGGAGGAGGACGAGGAGGAGGAGGAGGAGGAAGAAGATGAGGACGAGCACAGAGGAGGGGGCAACTGAGGGAGCCCTCCCCGGCCCCGGCGCCGCCCGAGGCGCCGCGTCGTCCTCCTCGCTGGCGCGGCAGGAGGGCCGGCGCCCCATACCCCGGGGCCCGCCGCCGCCCGTCGGGCGGAGCCGGGAGGCCTTTGGGAGGCCCCAGTCGAGCTCAGCCACCCGCTGCGGCGGCCTCATCGAGGACCCAATGGGAGGCCCCTTGGGAGGCCTCAGTCGAGGACCCTTTGGGAAGCCCCAATCGAAGACCCAATGGGATGCCCCAGTCGAGCTCTTCTTTTCCCTCTTCTGCCTTTTCTCGTAGGGAGCCAGGCGGCACCGATACTGCTGCGCCCTGGACCTCTCCCGGGATGCGTTCTAACGAGGGCTCCGAGGCGAATTTGGCCGAGGGCCTCCCAGGCGGGCCAGAGAGGCAAAAGCGAGGGAAGGGTAACAGCGGTATCGGTGTACATCTCCCTCCTCCGATTCTCCATCTATTTCTCGATCTGCTTATTTCTGCTCTGCCTTACTCTTGTTATTCTTAGTATTATTATGATGCTACGTCTTCTGCTGCTGCTTTTTCTGTTATTCGTATTATTATTAGTATTAGTATTAAATTATGTTTAGTAGTAGTAGTAGTAGTAGTAGTAGTAGTAGTAGTAGTAGTAGTAGTAGTAGTAGTAGTAGTAGTAGTCGTAGTAGTAGTAGTAGTAGTAGTAGTAGTAGTAGTAGTAGTAGTAGTAGTAGTCGTAGTAGTCGTAGTTTTCGTATTCTTATTAGTGTGTTTCTTCTTCTTCTTCTTCTTTTTCTTCTTCTTCTTCTTCTTCTTCTTCTTCTTCTTCGTCTCTCTTCATTCCGCCTCGGCGCGGGGGCGCGGAGGCGGAGCGGCGCGCTCTTCTCCGCTCGGCGCGGGGCGCGGCCTCGGAGCGGCGCGCTCGGGCACGCGCGGCGGCGGTGGCGACGTCCGAAGGCACCGCCCAGGGGCCCGCTCGGCCGCCGCAGCGGGCGGCCGAGCTCGAGGGGGGCCCGCCGCGAGGCGGAGCAGCGGGCGCGGGGCACGGCCGCGGCCTCTGCGCGCTTCGTGGCCCCATGGGGAGCTCCACCGACGGCCTCGGTTTAGGTCGGGCATGTCCCCCTACAGGCGGATTGTGGGCGAAAACTCAAAAAAACAAGAATACCCCCAGATACTCCAACATAGTTAAAAAAGTCGTCCCCAGACTATTGTTTGACCGTTTTTGAAGATCCCCCCTCTAGAGGGACACGCCCGACTTACGCCTCGATGGAGAACGTCCCGCGTGCCGCCCCCCCCCCGTCCACTCTGGCACGCCCCTCGCGCGCTCCGTGGGTGCCAACGGGAGCCCCATCACAGGTCCCAGTGGGCCTTGGGCTCGGCCCCGCGACCCCCCCTGCCGCCCCCCACCGCTCCGGCGGAGGCCGCTCGACTTGCGGGCCACAATTATAAGGCCTGCGGCGGCCGCTCGGGACGCTTCGGGCACCCCCAGGGCACGCCCTCGACGAGGCGCAGCTGCGGGAACCCAGCCCGGAGCAGGAAGGCCTCCAGGGATCGCCCACAACGTCCGACGATGTCTGACCGCGCGCCACACGATGGACCGATTTTCCACCACCACGACCATAGGTGGGAGAGGGAGAATGAGGAGGAGGAGGAGGAGGAGGAGGAGGAGGAGGAGGAGGAGGAGGAGGAGGAGGAGGAGGAGGAGGAGGAGGAAGATCTCCCCATCCTCCCTTCTCCCCCGTCCCACTTATGGTAAAGATGATGGACATTGGCCCACCACCACAGGTTACTCCGGTGACAAGGCCACTCTCACGTGTAGCCACATCTCGGCCGCTGAATAAGCCTGGCCCTCTGTGCCCAGCCGCCTCGCGCCTCCCATCCAGACCCCCGACGTCATGTTTTTTCTCACAATGTCGACCCACAAAGATCTCGACGCATTCCCCGGGACCGGCTTTTCATCCTGAGTCGTGTTGTGACGGTCCCAGGGTCTGGCGAGGGCCCCCAGAGGCTGAAACTATAACGAAAGCGTCCGTTATATTTTTTCATGTCGAGGGGGAGTCTTGGCACGTCCGTGCGGGACGCGCGCGTCCCAGCGCGCGGGTTGGGCGGTGGCGGTAGTGGGCAACGCCATGGGCCCTACTCCTGCAGGTCACATTTCTGAAAAACGGCGTGGTTCAGAATTTGAAAGATGTCTGCAACCACGTGACTCCCAGCAGGGGTGTTGAATACCCCAGTGTCGATTGGACCCGTAGGGGTGGGATTCGCAAGTGGTCGCGGAGGTGTCAGCCCAAACCTCCAATCATGAAAGGCGGGGGGTTATCCGTGACCACCGCCGGGGTGACCTCGGCAAACGGTGGATATGTTGCCTCCCCCCAGTGCCCGAACATATCCATATCCAGGGCTGCGAATGTTTTGTATATGTCAGCTACCACGTGGGGTCGCCAGGAGCCAAACGGAGCCACATCCTGCTGTACCCAGACATCCTCTGACATGATTTGTTCAATCCGCGGCTCTAGGACTCTCGACCTCTTCCCCGGGGGGGTAGCTTGGCGTCCATGGTCCATTGTTGTCGATGGCCCTGGGGTCCAAAGAAGCGCCCCCGAGGCCAAAACGAAGGAAAAGACAGCGATTGAAAAACCGATCATGTCGCTGGAGGTCTGGGTACGTGCGCAGTGCCCCCTTGCATTTCCAACTGGCCGCAATGAATGTGACGGGCAAGGACATGAGGGGGCCGCCTCATGGGGGAAGACATCAACCCAGAATCGGCGATGCGTCGCCGATGCGTCGGCGATGCGCCGGCGTTTGACAATAAATCCGCACGTTCTTGGGCAGGGTGGGCTATCAGGCCCACATCGGCGATGAGTAGGCGATTGGGGGTCGGTGCGTCCCCCCTGAGCCTACAGTCAGAATCTATAGACGGATGCAAGGTAAGGGTGCACGACACCTTGGACGTCCCATCTACCGCTTAGGGATCCTTGGACTTCAACGCTGGCTCGAGAGGGTCCGAAGCAGCAGGGATGCATGGGCCGCCGTGGTACAGCAGCGCACCCTTGCTGTGCATCTTGACCGTATCTCCTCCTGATCTTGTCCCTTAGGCAGAGGATGAAGAGCTGCATAAACATGCACGTCGTTCATTTCTAATCGTGCTCCATTTCTAGTTGTGCTCGTTTCTAATTGTTCCTGGCCCCCTCGTGGCTAGGAAGAGGCCCTGGATAGAACAACTAGACATGAAAGGATCGTGGCCCGCCAAAAAATCAAATACATCTCGAAGAATTAGAAACGAAAACTGTGTACGCCTTCGACGGTCTGCGCGGATTCCTTTGGATCGGCGCGGGGCCTCCCTCCCCGGCGCGCGGGGAGCGCACCAGGGGCGACGCCAGAGCGCCGCCAGGGGGGGTCCAGCGCGCTGGTCTGAGAAACCTGCGCGGATCTCCGAGCTGTTGTGTTTGTGCCACCGTTTAGTTCTCTGTGTCTGCATGCCCCCCTGGCCCTGCTCCTGAGAGGGCCTGCTCACCGCAGGGCACGCCTGAGAGAACCTCAGCAGTACCATTCACCACTTGGAGCTCCTTGGACGTCAACGTTGGCTCAGGAGGGGCCGAAGAAACAGGGATGCATGGGTAAACTTGACGAAGCAGCGCATCCTTACTACGGACCTTGACTATACTCCCCCCTGACCTAGTCCCTGAGATAGAGGAAGGAAAAATTGCATAAACATACACCTTCGAAGGTCCGCGCGGATTCCTTGGATCGGCGAAGTATCTTTCTCCCTGGCGCGTGGAGAGCGCCAGGGGCGGCACCGTAGGCGCCGCCAGGGGGTCCAGCGCCGATCCAAGGAATCAGCGCGGACCTCCGAGTTGGTATGCCTATGTCATCGTTTAGGGAGCCCACACAGGGCGTACGCGCCCAACCGCGTGATGCGAATGTTCACGCAATGTGTACTTTCGAAACCAATTTTCATGTACGTGTACGTCCTTCTTTCGCTCCTGATCCATGGCTGTTTCATCCCCTGACCTTGTGAGAGTGCCTGCTCGCCGCAGGGCGCGCCTCGAGCTTAGGGGCCGAAGAAGCATGATGCAAGGGGAGCTCAGGAGGGGCCGAAGCAGCATTGACATGAGGGTAGCCTTGGTGAAGCAACGGGCCCTTACTATTGAATTTGACTGTACTCTCCCCCCGACCTTGCCCCTGAGAGGGCTTGCGCCGCGCAAGGCGCTAATTCAACTGATAATGATGGTAGTGCTGATGATCGCGATGATGATGCTGATGATGATGCAGATGGTGATGCTGACGATATTGATGATGATACCGCTTAATATTATGATGACGGAGATGACGATGAGGATTATGCTGGCGATGACGATGTGGATGATTATGATGAAGATGGTGATAATGATGATGAGCATGATGACGCTGATGATGGTGATGATGATGATAGTGATGATGCTAGTACCGATATGGAGGAGGAGGGCGAAGATAATTATGACGACGATGATGATAATGCTGGCGGTGATGGTGATGGTGATGATGCTGGTGGTGCTGATGGTGATGATGCTAATGTTAACGGTACGGATGATGAGTGATGGTGATGGTGATGGTGCTGCTGCTGATGATGATGATGCTGATGCTGACGATAGTGATGATGAATCTGATGAATATGCTGATGGGGATGATACTGATAACGTTAATGCTGATGGTGATGCTGGTGATGATGGTGATGATGATAAGGATTATGCTGACGATGATGGTGATGAGGATGGTGACGATGATGATAGTTCTCAGGATGACGGTGCATGCGATGATGAGGATGATGATCACGATAAGGGTGCTGATGTTGTAGATGATGATGATGGTGATGCTAGTGGTGATGATGGCGATGAACATGGTGATGATGCTGATCATGATAATGATGCTGACGGTGATGATGATGGTGATGCTCATGATTGTGACAATGATGGTAATACCAAGGATGACGATGGTGATGCGGATGATGATAACGATGATAAGGGAGATGCTGGTGTCGATGCTGACGATGCTTATGATACTGGTGATGATGATGGTGATGTAGGTACTGATAGAAATTATGATGCTGATGATGATGATGATGCTGGTAATGCTGATGATGCTGATAAGACTGATGATGAAGCTGCTGCTGCTGATGATTAAGATGATCGTGTTAATGGTGAACACGATGATGCTGCTGATGATGATGATGTTGAGGATGATAGTCCTGATGATGGTGATGATGATGGCGACGATGGTGATACTGGTATTGATGCTGATGGTGATGATGATGCTGACAGTGATGATGACACTAATGATGACGATGGCGATGGCGATGGTGATGATGATGAGGATAAGGATGATGAGGATGAAGCTGAAGATGCGGATGATCTTGATGGTGATGATGATGGTGATAATGATATGGATGATCACGGTGATGATGACGATTCCGATGATGAAGATGGAACTGATGCTACTGATGATGGTGCTGCCGATGAAGACGACGATGGTGATGATGATGGCGATGATGATGGTCATGAAGATAGCGGTATGATGGCACTGGTGAAGATAATGATGAATGGCGACGACGATGCTGGCGATGATGCCGGTGGAGATGATGGTAATGGTGATGATGATCGGCATGATGAAGAATCTGATCATGACGATGATGATGCTGACGATAATGATGATGATGCTGATAAAGTTACGATGGTGATGGCTGTGGTGGTGGTGATGATGCTGATGTTGATAACGACGATGATCAGGATGTAGCTTGTCTTGATGTTGATGAGGATTATGATGATGCAGGTGATGATAAGGACGATGATGCTATATATGATCATGCTGTTGATGGTGATGATGCAGATGTTGATGCTGATGATGCTGTTGGTTGTTGTTGATGATAGAGATGATGATGACGATTCTGATGATTATTATGATGCTGCTGTTGATGATGAAGCTGGTGATAATGCCGATGATGGTGATGATGGTGATGAGGCTGGTGATGCTGATGATGATGGTGGTGAGGATCGTGACGTGCCTCCTCCCGACCTTGTCCCTAAGAGGGCCCGCCTCCCCGCAGGGCGCGCCTTGAGCTCTGGGTCTACCTCGCAGACGTACCACCCTCCGCAGCGGAAGTACGGCACGAAACCCCTCCGCGCGGATCGCCCGGCCGGCCGCGAGACGCGCCAGCCGCCGCGCAGAATCCTCCCCCCGCCCCGTCGCGGCTGCACACGCGAACCGCTCCGTGTGCTGTCTGGGCGAAGGAGCATCGCGCGACCGTCCGACGAGCGGACAGCTTGCGGCAAGGCCTCTCAGCAAGGCCTCTTAGGAGAGGCCCGCGTGGATACCCTCCGGGACGAACGAATGGCGAGCCCAGCGGACCAAACACCAACTGGACGGAGGAGAAATTGTTCCTCTCAGTGCGAACCCAAGGGTCTTCAACGATGTTGGAATGCACCCTCCCTCCAAGCTCCCTCGTCAGAGGCCCCTACAACAGTTCATTTCCATTGAGGGAACTGCCTCTTTGGAAGACAGCCGCTTGAAGACCCTGAAGCATGCCAAAACATTGCTCTCGGGTTTCCAACGCCACGGATCGACCTGACTGCTGCGTCTTGACAATCCTGAATTGTGCTAGAACGCCATTCCTGGGACTTCAACACAGCGAATTAACATAATTGTTGCACCCGCATAATCCTGAATTCTTTCAAAACACCATGTCTGGTACGTTGCTGACGGGAGCCCGTGAAGCCCTTACGCATGTTGTAAACGAATGTGCGCCGCGCACAGGCGAGAGCCACATTTTGAAAACCACCCGCCCACAATCCGTGAACGTCTTGCACATTTCTTTAAACGAATGTGCGCCGCGCCAAGGCGAGAGCCTCATTTTGAAAACCACCCGCCCTCAATCCGTGAAGCTCTTGCGAATGTTTAGAACGAATGTGCGAGGCGCTCAGGCGGGAACCACATTTTGAAAACCACCCGCCCTCAATCCGTGAAGCTCTTGCAATTTTGTGGAACGAATGTGCGAAGTGTTAAGGCGAGAACCACATTTTGAAAACCACCCGCCCTCAATCCGTGAAGATCTTGCACATGTTTAAAATGAATGTGCCCCGCGCTCAAGCGAGAGCCACATTTTGAAAAGAATGCGCCCTGTATCTGTGAAACTGTTGCCTCTTTTCAGCTTCAGGCTCTTAACTGGTGAGGAAGGAAGTCTCAGGCGAAACGCCCGACCCACCCTAACAACTGGCCTCGGGGTGCGAAAATTAAACATGTTTTATAAGGAAACAGAATGGAGGAGGAGGATAGTTTACCCAGGCGCGGCCGAGAGCGTGCAAGAGCCTTTTTTCTTTATTATTACTCGCGGTAGCGCCCGTGAGCGACCCCGCCCCCCCCCCCCCCCCGCGTCCCCCCCGCTAGTCACTTCGCGATTCCCGCCGGCGCCGTGTGGGAATGAGCCATGGGCATCCCCCCCTGGTCACGTCGCGACTCGCGCCGGCGCAGTGCAAGAATGAACCACTTCCTCATCATTCCCAGGCGGCGCCGCGCGAATCGTGACGTGGCCGGCTCACTCACCCCTGGCTTCCCCCCTTCCGCGGTCACGCCCGTTATCTCCAGGGGATAATGATCCGGGCCAAAAAACCCAACCAGATGCAGTCGTGGGTACCGCAATTGTGAATATCTTCTTCGGTGGAGCTCCCGATGGGGCCACGAAGCGCTGCACTGGGTGGGGAGGAGCGCATACGGGCGGTAGCACTGGGGCCGTCGGTGGAGCTCCCTATGGGGCCACGAAGCGCTGTACTGGGTGCCGGGGACGCATGCGGACGGTAGCACAGGGGCCTTCGGTGGAGCTCCCCATGGGGCCACGAAGCGCTGTACTGGGTGGGGGGGGCGCATGCGGGCGGGAGAACTGGGGCCTTCGGTGGAGCTCCCTACGGAGCCACGAAACGCTGTATTGGGTGGGGGGGACGCATGCGGGCGGTAGTACTGGGACCTTTGGTGGAGCTCCCTATGGGGCCACGAAGCGCTGCGCTGGGTGGGGGTGACGCATGCGGGCGGTGCCACTGGGGCTTTCGGTGGAGCTTCCCATGGGGCCACGAAGCGCTGTACTGGGTGGGGGGGCGCATGCGGGCGGGAGAACTGGGGCCGTCGGTGGAGCTCCCTACGGAGCCACGAATCGCTGTATTGGGTGGGGGGGGCGCACGCGGACGGTAGCGCTGGGACCTTCGGTGGAGCTCCCTATGGTAGCATTGGGACCGTCGTTGTCGCTGGAGCCCCCTATGGGGCCACCAAACGCTGTACTGGGTGGGGGGGGGGCGCATGCGGGCGGTAGCACTGGGGCCGTCGGTGGAGCTCCCAATGGGGCCACGAAGCGCTGTACTGGGTGGCGGGGACGCATGCGGGCGGTAGACCTGGAACCTTCGGTGGAGCTTCCTATGGGGCCACAAAGCGCTGTAATGTGTGTGTGTGTGTGTGTGTGTGTGTGTGTGTGTGTGTGTGTGTGTGTGTGGGAGGGACGCATGCGGACGGTAGCACTGGGGCCTTCGGTGGAGCTCCTTATGGGGCCACGAAGCGTGTGAGGGGGAATGCCGAAATATGTGTGAGGGACGCATGCGGGCGGTGGCACTGGAGCTTTCGGTGGAGCTCCCTATGGGGGCGAAGCGTGTGAAGGGTGTGCCGAAATGGGTATGGGGGACACATGTGGGCGGTCCCACTGGGGCTTTCGGTGGAGCTCCCTATGGGGCCACGAACCGTAGTGCTGGGTGGGCGAAAATGCCAAATTGGGTGTGGGACGCGCGCGGACGGTCCCACTGGGGGCTTCGGTGGAGTTCCCTATGGGGCCACGATGCGCTGTACTGGGTGGCCGAAAATGCCAAATTGGGTGCACCTTGTGGTGTTGGGTCCTCGTTTTGAAGAGACGGTCCCCTCGTTCATTCTTTCCTTCTCCCCTTCCTCCCTCCTCCCTGCGTTTCACTCACCCAGTACAGCGCTTCGTGGCCTCATAAGGGGGCTCCACCGAACCGCCCCAAGTGGGACCGCCCGCATGCGTCCCACACACCCAACTTGCCATTTTCACCCACCCAGTACAGCGTTTCGTGGCACCGTAGGGAGCTCCACCGAAACCCCCACTGGGACCGCCCGCGTGTGTGGGAAACGCATGCGGGCTATGGGGCCACGAAACGCTGTACTGGGTGGGTGAAAATGCCACATCGGGTTTTCGGGACGCGTGCGGACGGTCCCACTGGGGGCTTCGGTGGAGCTCCCTATGGGGCCACGAAGCGCTGTACTTGGTGAGTGAAAATGCCATATTTGGTTTTCAGGACACACGGGGACGGTCTCAGTGGGGGCTTCTGTGGAACTCCCAATGGGGCCACGAAGCGTTATGCTGGGTGGGCGAAGCTGCCAAATTGGGTATGGGACGCATGCGGGAGGTCTCACTGGGAGTTTCGGTGGAACTCCCTATGGGGCCACGAAGCGCTGTACTTGGTGAGTGGCAATGCCAGATTTGATTTCCGGGACACGCGCGGACGGTCCCACTGGGGCCTTCGGCGGAGCTCCATATGGGGCCACGAATCGCTGTACTGGGTGGGTGAAAATGCAAATTGCGTTCCAGGACACACGGGGACGGTCTCACGGGGTTTTGGTGGAGCTCCATATGGTGCCACGAAGCGCTGTACTGAGAGTGCGAAAATGTCAAAGTGGGCTTCTGGGACGCACGCGGGCGGTCCTTCTGGGGGCTTCGCTGGAGCTCCCTATGGGGCCACGAAGCGTTGTACTGGGTGTGCGAAAATGCAAAATTGGGTTTCCAGGACGCATGCGGACGGTCTCACTGGGGGCTTCGGCGGAGCTCCCTGTGGGGCCACGAAGCGGTGTACTGGGTGGGTGAAACGCAGGGAGGAGGGAGGGGGGGAGGAGGGGGAGGGAGGAAGGAGGGAGGAGGAACGCGGGGGCCGTCCCTTCAAAAAGAAGACCCAACGCCGCAGGATTGTTGGGAACAGTAAGTATCCTGGCGAAGGACCCAACCATATGCAATTGCGAGTACCGCAATTGTGAATATATTCTTCGGTGGCGCCCACGAACGGTATGGGGGGCGTGCCGAAATGTGGCGGGGTACACGACGCGAAGGAAAACGATTGGTCCAATAACGAGAGACGGAGCGCGGGTGAATCTGAGCGCGAGTGAGTCTACGTGTGAATGAGTCTGCGTGCGAGCGAATATATTTGCACGAATGCGATCACGGCTACGCCTCGTGTAAATGTACATGGCTGTGAACGGTTCGGGTATGCCTGTCTGTGCACTCGTGGCACTGAGCGTGGCCGCCGCGAAAAGTTTCTGCGGGGGCCCCGGCGGCAGCGCCCGCGCGCCGCGACGCCCATGTCGGCGCGCCCCTCACGAGGATCGCGCCCGCTTCCTTCCTTTCTTCCTCCCTCTTTGCCCGCGCGCTCCAAAGTCCAAAGCTGCGGGCGCAGCGCTGCGCGGAGTCCCCGCGACGCGCGCCGGTCGCCCCGGAAGGGCCCCAGCGACGAGCGCGGGTCGTCCGCTGCGCGGAGCAAAGAGAGCTAGCTAGCTAGCTAGCTAGCTGGCTGGCTGGCGGATAGCGGGCAAGGCTCTGACCGTTGGGTAGAGCGACGACGGGCGAGCGAGGCGCAGGGAAGAACGCAGCGCGGAGTTGCCGCGACGCGAGCTGGTCGCCCCGGGAGGGTCCCAGCGACGCGCGCGGGTCGTCCGCGGCGCGAGGCCAAACAATTAGTTGGGCAGTCGAGAGAAGGCGCGGCTCGGCGGGGGGCGCTCCTCAGGTTAGGCCTCGCGGAGAAACTCGGTGAAGCCGAGCTCCCTGTCGAGGGCCGTCGCCTCCCTCATGCGCCGCTTCGTGCGCGCCGCAAACTGCTCCAGCCGTTTCCGCAAGCCCTCCGGCGGCCCTGCCAGGAAGAACTCGATGCGCGGCGCCCGCGTGAGCAGGGGGCCCTCGTGGCGCGTGGCGCGCGACAGCAGCGCATAGAGCTCCAGCCACCAGTCGTCGTCCTCCTTCTTGCAGTTCCCGACCTCGTGGCGGCCGCTGTCTGGGATCACGCCTGGGCGACGTCGGCCGAGGGAGCAGCGCGCCGGACAGCCGACGGCCCGGGGCGAGAGCCCACAGGGCCGGGAGATGGTCCGGCTGCAGACCGCTCGCGCCCAGCAGGTTCGGCTGTAGGGTGTGCCGAAACGTGTGAGGGGTGTGCCGAAATGGGCGTGGGGGACGCATGCGGGCGGTGGCACTGGGGAGCTCCCTATGGGGCCACGAAACGTGTGAGGGGTGCGCCGAAATGGGTGTGGGGGACGCATGCGGGCGGTGGCACTGGGGCCTTCGGTGGAGCCACGAATCGTGTGAGGGGTGTGCCGAATGGGTGTGGGGGGCGCATGCGGGCGGTGGCACTGGGGCCTTCGGTGGAACTCCATATGGGGCCACGAAACGTGTAAGGGGTGTGCCCAATTGTGTGGGGGACGCAGGCGGGCTGTGGCACTGGGGCCTTCGGTGGAACTCCCTATGGGGCCACGAAACGTGTAAAGGGTGTGCCCAATTGTGTGTGGGGGACGCATGCGGGCGGTGGCACTGGGGCCTTCGGTGGAACTCCCTATGGGGCCACGAAACGTGTGGTGGTGTGTGCCGAAATGGGTGTGGGGGACGCATGCGGGCGGTGGCACTGGGGCCTTCGGTGGGGCTCCCTATGGGGCCACGAAGCGTGTGAGGGGTGGGCCGAACTGGGCGTGGGGGCCGCATGCGGGCGGTGGCACTGGGGCCTTCGGCGGAGCTCCCTATGGGGCCACGAGAAACGTGTGAGGGGTGTGCCGACATGGGTGTGGGGGACGCGTGCGGACTGTGCCCAGGGACCTTCGGCGGAGCTCCTGTGGGGCCACGAAACGTGTGAGGGGTGGGCCGAGATGAATGGCGGGGACGCATGCGGACTGTGCCACTGGGACCTTCGGCGGAGCTCCTGTGGGGCCACGAAACGTGTGAGGGGTGGGCCGAGATGAATGGCGGGGACGCATGCGGGCGGTGCCACTGGGACCTTCGGCGGAGCCCCTATGGGGCCACGAAACGTGTGAGGGGTGTGCCGAAATGAGTGGCGGGGACCCATGCGGACTGTGCCACTGGGACTTTCGGCGGCGCCCCTATGGGGCCACGAAACGTGTGAGGGGTGGGCTGAAATGAGTGGCGGGGACGCATGCGGACTGTGCCACTGGGACCTTCGGCGGAGCCCCTATGGGGCCACGAAACGCTGTACTGGGCGGGGGAGACGCATGCGGACTGCGCCACGGGGACCTTCGGTGGCGCTCCCCGTGGGGCCACGATACGCTGTACTGGGGGGGGGGACGCATGCCAACCGCGCCATTGGGACCTTCGTTTGAGCTTCCGATGTGGCAGCGAAACGTGTGATGATATTGATGATGCTGATGTTGATGATGATGACGACGATGATGACGATGATGATGATGATAATGATGATGATGATGATGATGATGATGACGACGATGATGACGATGATGATGATAATGATGATGATGATGGTGATGATGATGATGATGATGGTGATGATGATGATGATGATGATGAGAGGAGGGGAGGAGGGAGGAGGAAGGGGGAGGAACGCGGGGCGCTGTCTCTTCAAAACTAGGACCCAACACCACAGGATGGTTGGGAAGAACGTGGCTCCTGAGGGAGAAGCAGGGTCGCCAAACTTCGCGCATCTTGCCCTGCGATGCCTGACTCAAATCCAGCGCAAAGTATGACGCAAAAGAGCACCAGCGGGAAGACGCCGCGCCAGGCAAACCTGTGCCACAATCTGTACCGCCGGGAAACAAAAACATGGCCCCAGCGTCTTAAATGACAAGCATCGTAGGTTTTCGGGAGTTTGTTGCTGGCTCCTGGATGCGTTTTTAGAGGCCTTCTAGATGGGGTCCGAGTAGACGGCATCGGAGGATCGAGCCGCATCGGCGATGCATCGGTGATACATCAACAATGCATTGACGATGCACTGGCGACGTCGGCGATACATCGGTGACATCGGCGTAAAGAAAATCAGGCTCCGCATAGAGCCGCATCGGCGAAGCATCGGCGATCCTCCGACCTCATCTGCTCCGACCCCATCTGGGAGGCCCAAACTTCTTGCCTCGGAATATTTGCCAGCAACTGCGTCTCGCCGAAAACGTTCCGGGGGGGGGGCCGAACGGCCACAGGAGGCCCGAGTGGCGGCCCGAAAGCCGGCCCCCGCTTCGAAAACAATCGCGGCACCAAGTGTTTGAACGTTTTCGGCTTCTGGTGGCCCTCACCGGGCCCCAGGACCATGAAGTCTTTCACGGGCGAAGAACGGTATAGAATACACTTTTTCGCCGACGGGGGCGCCTGTCCCAGGGCGGCTCGAAAATTTTTATCCGTACGGTGGCACGTCAAGGTATCAATTTTCCAGCCGCCCTGGGACAGGTGCCCCTGGCGACGGAACAATTTATTTTATACCGTTCTCCGCCCGCTAAAATCTGCTCGGGATGAAAAATGTGTCCCTGCGAAAGGGTCCAGACCCCTGGGCCTGCGAAAGGGTCCAGACCCCTGGGGGGGGGGGCCACGCTAGGAAAAAGCACGACGCCGGACGACTGGGGAGGCGGGCATCTTTTTGCTCACCCCCGCCGGCGCGAAGCAGGCCTGCTCTCCCTGTGGCGATGCGCGCCGAGCGAGGCAGGGCGGAGAGGCACAGAGCTGAGGAACACGGGCACAGGGAAAAGCGCCAAATGCGCTGTGCGCGAGCTCCTCCCCGTGACCCAAGCGGATATTTTTATTATATAAACCACTGGAGGGGAGCAAGCCTTTCTGGCATTTTTCCGTCTCTCTTGATGGGCCCATTTCCCTCCACCACCACTATATGTAGGAGAGGGAGGAGGAGGAGGCGGAGGAGGAGGAAGAGGAGGAGAAGGATGAGGAGGAGGAGGAGGAGGAGGAGGAGAGGAGGAGGGGGAAGGAGGAGGAGGAGGGGGAGGAGGAGGAGGAGGAGTTGGAGGAGGAGGAGGCGAAGGAGGAGGAGGAGGAGGAGGAGGAGGAGGAGGAGGAGGACCCCCTCCCCCTCCAACTTATGGTGGCGGTGGTGGAGAACAGGCCCATCATCTCTCTCTGGGGGGCTGGGGGGCCTTCTCGGCGCCACGGGCTGGGCCCCCCCTCCGAAGTGAAGTGCTCAGCGGCGGCCCGAGCAGAGATCGCGCCAGAAGCTGTACAGCTTCCGGCGTCTGAGGGGCCACTTCCGGGCCGAGAGGCCCTGGAAAAGCCACCAGCGGTGCTTCTCGTCCGCAGCTTCGGGGTGAAAGGCGGTCCCAGGGAATGGTCGAGGGCGCCAGGGCGGAGAGGCTCGCAAGAAAAGCCGGGCGGTCTGACGCATGCAGTCAAGATTGTCTTGCTTCGCGCGTCTGAGCGGTGGCCCTGGCGAAAAGCTATGCCCCGCAAGGGGACAGCGTGTCGCTCCGCTCCGCGTGGCGGGAGGCTGGGAAAGGCTCGGGACCTTGCTCTTCTGGGACTGGGGCGTGGTTAACGTGTCGCGCCGAGCCGTGGTGGGCCATAACGGGCGGCGCGACACATGAAGTAAACATTCCTGGCCGTAGGGATGGATGGGGACTCCCCACCTTATCTGTCCTCCGCCCCCCCTCTCGCCCCACCTCACATCCTGAAGGGATCTCCGCCCTCCCTCCTCTCCACCTCTTGCGAAGCTTCTACGAAATGGGGCCGGAGGATGAACGATCTAGACTCAATACTTCAGCCGCTAATTGTCCCCAGTGACGCTTATTTCGAGCACCATCTGGGTGTTCATCAGCGGCGTGTGCAGAATGGATGGGCGCGCCGCAGTAATGTCAAGCCCTGCACATCCCTGCGCCGATATCAACACGAGGGCCGTACGTTATCCAGAACAGTCACATGTTGACTAGCTCCTTGCTCGTACCTGCGCTCGACTGGTGCCTACACCACAACTTCACCTCCGCAGACTGCTTCGTAGTCACTGCAACAGTCACGGTGATGTTTGCAATATGAATTGCATTGGCACGAGTGCGACCTCACGTACTTTCCACATCCGTACTCTTTGCATGATCCCGACGACGGCGAAGGACCAGGAGATGGCCCTGGGCCTGGAGAAGGCGGTACAGGCCCTTGACCTTTCTTCACCGTAAAGGAATGGAGCTTCTCCCCGCCCACATCTATGAAATCAGTCGTCAGTGAGGAAAAATCAGAACTGAAGGTATGCAACGTAAAACCAGAGGTGCGCTCTGTGAAAACACTCGCATGCTGATGCCCGTTCTCTACAGGACCAACGTCCGAACCGATTGACATGTTGTATGTGCGGCACTGAGCTGGAGAGCCGGGAAACTGGTCTCGGGACATCACCAATGAACCCGCACCCGAAGTCACATACGCTCCTTTTCCATCCACGGTATACTGGCTCAGCGTGTGCACGTGCCCATTCAGATCCTCTACCGTGCCTCTGGCACGTGGCACGTGGTGTAATGCCCTCAGGTCATTTCTGGTCACTAATACCACACTCTGCCAATGCTCCCCAATCAACGCTTGCAGTCAGGGGCTCTTGCTCGTTCTGTCACATAACTGGAGGGTGCTCCGGCTTTTCGCCCTGTGCCCGCCTAGAGCAGGGGCGCCTCGTGTGCACCTCGCGCTAGGAGGTGGCAACTTCAAATTTTCGCCAGGTGCCCTGCCGGTGCTCGCCCGTCGGCGGCTCGTGGACGCCTCGTGCTGGGTAAGAGTTCCGGGGTTTCGCTCGGAGCCCTCCTGGTGCCCGCCCGTGGGCGCCTCGTGGGCGCCGCATAGCTGGCACCGCACAGTTTGCACCACAGAGCTTGCACAGCATAGCTTGCAGCGCATAGTTTGCACTGCGTAACTTGCACATTATACTCTGCACCACATAGGTCGTGCCACATAGCTTGTGCCACGTAGCTTGCACCACACGGCTTGTAGCATAGAGGTTGCCCCACCTAGCTTGCACCACATACCTTACACCACATAGCTTACACAACATAGCTTACACCACACTGCTTACAACTTGCAGCTAGCATCGCATACGTTCTACCACACTGCTGACATCATATATACTGGACCGAATCGCTTGCACACTCTTAGCTTGCATCACATAGCTTGCAACACGTAGCTTGTACCATAACGCTGGCACTACATAGTCTGCACCACGTAGCTTGTGCCACATCTTACAGATCCGGAGCGCAAGACGTCATAGTTTAGGGCCCTCGCTGGCCAAATCCTGGAGACCCAACATGTTGGACACATGCGTTGCAGATTCGCAAGGGCAATGCGCCCTGTGCTCCTGGATGGTCTTTGGGGCTGTCGGGCTGGACTGAGGTTCGTTGCAAGACCTTTCTCAACACGTGGTGTGAACATTGCCCATTGCAAGACCTTTCCCAACACCTGATGGGACCATGGCAGGGAGGTACAGCTTCCAGCACCCCAGGCTGGCCCCAAGTGCTTGCCTTTGGGGCATCTCGGGTATCCCTTGGACCGTCTTTGGGGCCTATGGGGCCGGCCCACCAAGTACTTTTCGAAGAAAGAGTGCGAGCACTTAGGGCTTCTACTCCTTGTCCTTCAGTAGTTGGACGGATTTCAACACTTTTCGCCTGTTGGGCGGCCGTGGGCGCATCGTGGACGCACCGTGCGCTGGCTGTTGTCTTTTCTGGTTTGCCTGGCAGGCGCCCTGTAGGCGACCCGAGCACTGGCTGGGTTTTCCCGTGTTTCCCTCTGTGGGCGCCCGTAGGCGCCGCATGCTGCCTGCCACAGAGCTTGATTCTCCTGTCTAAAAACAGAACAGGTTCTACCACAATCTCCATCCTGGACTGAACGATCAACGTCTTCGTATTGCAATTTGCATATGAGTCTGCCCCATCGTCCATCCTATATCTGAATTTACACTAGCCCAGGGGGGCCGGTATCGCCCCCCCCCGCCATCCTCTGCAATCGAAATATGCGCGCGCACTCGTTTATCAAACATCATAAATTTGAAAAATCCCTTGCAACAGAAATTAAACGAAACGCACACGCACGCGTCGTCGCGCGCGCATGCCGGAATCCTTTACAAACCTTCGGTTTCGGAAGGGGTTCAAAATCGACGGTCCAAAAACATATAACAAACATATGTTTTCGCAGCACGGGTTTCCCCAAAAAACGTGCGCGCGCGCTCTTGCGAATTCTGAGGCAAACCATGCTTTCAACATGTTCATAAACTGCTACCAAATGGGCTTCGCGCGCGCATGTCAAAATCGTTCGAACGTCCTTGCGCGAGTGCTGGGATGGCACGATCCGTGTCGAAGAGTACCATGCGAGCCACTCTCGCGCGTCTGCCGCGCGCGCATTTCGAACTCCTTCGAAACCTTTATCACTGACGCGGAGACGCCGTCATCGTCGTCGGCGTGATCAGCCTGTCTTTCCTCGTCCGTCGTCGCCGTCGTCGTCCTCTTTGGCGTCGTCGTCATTTCCGTCGTCGTTGTCGCCGTGGTCCTCCTTCCTCCTCCCTCGTCGTCGTCGTCGTCGTCGACCATCGTCGGCGTCTCGTCGTCGTCCCTCCTATCATTTCGTCGCAGTCGTCGTCGTCGTCTTCGTCGTCGTCGTCGGCATCGTCGTCGTCGGCGTCGTCGGCGTCATCGTCGTCGTCATCGGGGTCGTCGTCGTCCTCTTTGGCGTCGTCGTCGTTTCCGTCGTCGTTGGTGCCGTTGTCGTCCTTCCTCCTCCCTCGTCGTCGTCGTCGACCATCGTCGGCGTCTCGTGGTCGTCCCTCCTATTTCGTCGCCGTCGTCGTCGTCGTCGGCGTCGTCGTCGACGTCGTCGGCTTCGTCGTCGTCGGCGTCGTCGTCGTCGTCTTCATCGTCTTCGTCGTCGGCGTCGTCGTCGTCGTCGGATTCGTCGGCGTCGGCGTCGTCGTCGGCGTCATCGTCGTCATCGTCGTCGTTGGCGTCGTCGTCGTCGGTGTCGTTGTCGTCGTCGTCGTCGTCGTTGTCGTCGTCGTCGAAGTCGTCGGAGTCGTCGTCGGTGTCGTCGTTGTCGTCGTCGGCGTCGTCGTCGTCGCTGTCGACGTTGTCGTCGTCGCCGAAGTCGTCGGAGTCGTCGTCGGTGTCGTCGTAGTCGTCGTCGGCGTCGTCGTCGCCGGCGTCGGTGTCGTCGTCGTCGTTATTGCCGTCGTCGTCGAAGTCGTCGGAGTCGTCGTCGGTGTCGTCGTCGTCGTCGTCGGCGTCGTCGTCGTCGTCGCTGTCGTCGTTGGCGTCGGCGTCGTTGCCAAATGCATTTTGGTACCTACCGTCACGGTCTTAAGAGGTCTTGCGACCAAGTTGCGGATGGGAGGGTGGGATGCTTGCATGAGAAGTGGAGAGGACAGCATCAATACAGTCAAAGTAGCTTGCACCACATGTATTGCACAACACAGCTTCCAGCACCTAGCTTGAGCCACACAGGTTGCAAGGCATGACTTGCAAGCATGCCTTACCCACTGGGGCCTGTTCTACATAGATCACACTAGATATCCTACACCACACACGCCCCTGTTGCACAATCGAGCTTTCACCAGATAGCTTGCTCAACATCGGCAGTGCAGAAACCTACTGTTCGGGGGTCCACGCTGGCAACACATAGTAGACAAGCTCGAGAACGTACCACACCCATCTGACACGTTTGGCGCTTCCAAGTGAACGGAATCAACATTTAGCAGGGGAGGGGCGTCGCGCTGAACCCCCAAACGCCGCAGAACAATTGCGACACTCACATGCTTGGTAGCACCCTCATTTGGGACAGCGTGTGTCAGAACTCCGCTCGGCCCCTCAAGAGCGCAAGAGTATTGCGACGGCTGCGCCTGGCCATATTCAGGGTGGGCGAGAACTCTTTGGATTTGCGTGGCCCACCGCTCCGCTGGACCGCCCATGGGCGCAAGAGAGCGGCGATCGTTGCACGCCTGTCAGGGTCCAAGGAGGGCGAGCTCTCATGAGGATCCTCTTGTGGCGCCACTCTGGTGGACCCCTGGGAGCGCTGGAAAGCGGCGACAGTTGCACGCCTGCCAGCGCCCAGGGAGGGCGAAATCTCATGTTGATCTTCGTCTGGCGCCAACCCGTTGAACCACCCCAAGGGCGCAAAAAAATGGCGACGGACGCACGTCGTGCAGCAACCCGGATGGGCGAGGCACTGTACGGATGCGCGCGCGACCACTGCGCTGGCAATGGCGCAAGGTCACGGCGGCAGTTGCTTGCTGGGCCTGCGCCCATGGGGGCAAGCGAGAAGAGAACGCAAAGAGAGAAGCATGATGCGCGGAGAAGGATGGCACAGTACACGCGTACGGTTAACAATCCTGATGCTAGAAACTTTGGGAAACATTATTCGTCGAATCTTGAGCTCCCCCAGGCGGCCCACCGCTTCTGTGGGTCCCTGGGGCCATTGGGGCATCAGACATTTCTGTGGGGCTTCTCCTGGCAGGCCGATTCCTTATTGGATGTGCCTCCTGTAGCGAGGGGAGGAGAGGTATGGGAATGACGGAGGTCGGGTGAACAAAAATATCCTAAGGAGGGCGCACACACGCTGACGCCCGTACGCACACACGCACCCACATACACAACACAACACAACACAGCACAGCACAGCACAGCACAGCACAACACAGCACAGGACAACGCAACTCAACTCAACTCAACTCAACTCAACGCACACACACACCAGGAGAGTTGGAACACACAGTGCAAGATCTTGCGATCCTCGCCCCCTCGGCATCAGGAGCCTCCAAGCCAGCCCACGAGGCGTCCAAAGTGGTCCCAAGATGGCCTCCAAGCCCCCCAAAGAGTAGCCCAACAACGCCCCAAAATAATCACAAAAGGCCCTCGACCTCAAAAAGAAACGGACACTGGCAACGTGCTTGGGTCTCCGCCCTCTTTCCCGCCAAAATGGCTTCAAGACCCCCAGGAAGCTGCCAATAGGTCCCCAAAGGTCCCCAGAAGGCTTCCAAAGAGATGTGCAGGAGGCTCCCAAGAAGACTCCAACAAGCTATGCGCAGGCCCCCGAGTGGCAGCAAAATTGCCCTCGGAGCCCTACATGCGAGGAACCTGCAATATTCGAGACCATGCAGCCAGAGGCCGTCCATTGGGACTCTACACAAGCGTGGCTGCGAATGACGAGGAAGCTGGAAGAAAATTACTTCACACCTTGCGCTGCACAAGTTACGCAACATCTCCATATAACTCACAAATCAAGAGTCTGCGGCAATCTCGGAAATAATGCTCCTAGAGCCCTCCACGGAGGTTATGCAGGAACATGGCTAGGGATAATGACAGACAGTGGAAGAAATAACTCCAACCCTCGAGCAACCGTGATATTTCAAAATATATTCCTACAGGGCTCCCCTCTCCACGTGGACTCTCCGCGAATATAGCTTGCAATACTTCGCGGCTTTCAGGGACCGTGGCGAGTTGGGACGAAGTCCGATCGATCCAGCGCAATACGTTGCTTGCAAAGGGCCGCAATTGTTCGTCCTTCCAAGATGTTCTCAATGATGTCTCGGCGTATCCCACCGGCCACCTGGGCGGACCCGGACGAACTGCAAAATCCGCACCATCCGCCTCCAAAAATTGCCGAAATGGCCCAGCATGACCTCCGAGACGGTCCCACGACGCCTCCACGACAGCCAGCGGCCACAAGAGAGGCCAAGATGGCCCGAAACGCCTCTGAGACGGCCCAAGATGACCCCACGACGGCCCAATACGGTCCCAGACGCCCTCGAAACTGCTCAACTGGCTACCAAGACGGCCCAAGCTGGCTCCCAAAGGCCCCCCAGGCAGTCCCCAAGATGATCAGTGATCTCCCTTGAGCTTTTGAATGATTTTGCATTCTTGCCTATTCGGGCTTCTGACAGCCGAAGGTAATCCAAAAGGCCTCTAAGAAGAGCCCAAGACGGCCCAAGAGGCCCCCAAGACGGCCCCCGAAGCCCTCAGGAGGCCCCAAGAGGCCCCCCTAAGAGGCGTCCTCTTCTGCCTCCTCCTCCTCCTCCTCCTCCTCCTCCTCCACCTTCTCCTCCCTCTCCGCCTCCTCTCTCTCTCTCTCTTCCCCCCCTAGCTGTTCCCCACAACGGCTGGGGGAAAACGTGGCCCAATGGCTTGTCATGACTTCGGCCTTCCGATTGGCTACACCAGCTTTTCCAAAAGGCACGGGGCGGCGGCGGCTCGCCATAGGGTCTTTGATCCGCCAACCCCTCGTGTCCACGAGGGTGACGTGCGTGCTAAGACACACATCTCCCTGGGTTTGGCGCTCGGCAAGCATTTTGGGCCCGTGTCGCCGCCACCATGCTTCGCCACCAAGGTCCAAAGTCATCTACATACCAAAGAAAACATGCTGCAAGGATGGCCCAACATGACCCAAGAGGTCTCCATTCGGCGCCGATGTTGCCCGAACAGGGGACAACACAGCCCCAACGTGACTCTACAAAGCCAATGGGATGTTCCAGGCGCTTTTTTTGACGTTGGCTTAGGAGCTCTTCGACTCAATATGGTTCCACGAGTTCCTCGGAAAGGCCAAATAATGCCCCCAAAAAGATCACAAGATACCCACTATAGCTCTGAGACGGCTTAGCACGGCTCCAGAAAAATGACCTCCAAATACTACCAAAGAGCGTCTAGGGAACAATGCAGGACGGCCCAAGAGGGGCCCAAGGCGTCCCGAAGAGGACCCCAGAAGGCTTCAAGGCGACAGAATGCCCCCCAAGCAGCATAAGATAGCCCCAAGAAGGCCCAAGGGGGAGGTGGCCAAGAAGGCCACATGGCCGATTGCGGAAGCCCTTAACAAAACAAATATTCTCTTGGATGGCTAATTTTTATTTCCGCTAACTTCCGCCAGCGGAGCCGTCCTTGTTTTACTTTCGCTGGCTTTCGCAGGCCTTCTCCTGAGGAAGCGATCCTGACTCATTCGATCCTCGAACGCCTTCCTGGAACGCGCCACATGCGGCCCAAGACCAGCCGATGAGGTCCCAAGAGAAGCCAACATGTCGCCCAACAATCACCAAAGAGGCACACTTCTCGGCTACACGGGGCGGTTGGTAAGTCGCCGGAGGCGTCTTCGATACAAGTCGAAACCACGTTCCTGCATTGCCGAAGTCAGATCCTCGACGTTCATTTCTTGCGCAGGATGGTGACCAACCACAATAAGCCAGTCATCGGCTGGGACCGCCGCTAAAGATTTCTTAAGCCATGCGAGCTGTGCGCCGCAGTCCTGCGACAAAATGTTCTCATGAAAGGTACACTTGCCCTCGAACTCGTCGCTTCCTCCTGACAGCGAGCACGTGGGATACTCCCCGCAAGGATCCCAGCCAGACTTGCTGTCTGCGCGGTACTCCTGCACGCAGGGGGAGGTGTCCAGGAAGATCATGCTGACGTAATTGTTGCCCGCCATCTGCACGCGCTTCGTAAAGTACCTTGCATCCATCACCCAATTCTTGTACATGTTTCCCAAATCAATCTGCGCAGATACGTTGTAGCCGTACTCGTGGTTTCCCAAGACGCTGTACCACGGAATCTGCAAAGGACTAGCGCTGTATGGCTCGACCCAGTCTTTCTGGACCTGGAAGTCCGAGGTGTTTTCAATACCACACCAATAGAAATTATCGCCAGTGTTCACAATGAACTTGACTTCGCTGGATTCTGCAGTTTTTGCCATTTGGGTAGCCACGCGTTTCACGTTCTGTGCGTACGGCGTGGATGGCTGGTACGCCCCTGGCAGCGCACCCCCCCAATCTCCTAAGGTGATGAACGTGTAGCCCACACACGGCAAAGGCGTCATGGCAAGAGCAAGGAGAGGCAACATTGCGCGGACCTTTAGTGAAAATCGACTCGCACTTGAACCCAGATTTCTTCAACTCTAATAAGCAAGTCCCTGGGGGGGGAGGATGAGGAGGAGGAGGAAGAGGAGGAGGGGCAGCAGCAGTACACTCGACCAAGATAGGAAGGATGCGCGGTAAGGATGCAAGGGCCTTGGAACGCCATGTTGACGTTTTCCGTGCAGAGCGCAGCAGAATGCCGAAAGATGCCGAATACCGGAGGCGCAAGGATGCAAGGGTAGCCTTGGGAAGTTGCCCAATCCTTACTATCATGGTTCACTGTAGTAGGATGAGCGAATTTATGCGGAGGGGGTGAAGGGGCGAGCGAAAATGGGAAATGCGCATGGGCTTGGAGGAGGAGGAGAAGGATGAGGTAGAGGTAGGGGAAAGGGGGAAGAAGGAGGGGGAAGGGAAGAGGAATAATGGGAGGGCATGGGGAGGGGAGAGAAAGAGGGAGAGGGGCAGGAGAAGGAAGATGAGGGGCAGGAGAAGGAGGACCAGCGTGAGTTCAAGATGCGTCAACAAAGCTAGGATACACCCTCCCATATTAAGTCCACTCTTGTTAAGACCCTGTGGCACTTCCTTCTCACTGAGTGCCCCACTTGAACGACGAGCGGCCTGTGAACCTGCAAGTCAGGTGGAACCGCCGCTTCGGAAAAGAACCAAGAGAGTGAACAGGTGTGATCATATAGTTCAGAGAAGACAGCCGCCACCTATCCGTGCTGCGGGTGCACACTTTCACAAGTCTGGTTGCAATCCAGAACAAGTATCACGTGAGCTCATTTTGAAACTTATCTGCCCCCCATCCGTGTAGCTGTTGTGTATGTTCAATTTGCGATCAATGCCCCAATATATCCGCGTGACTGTTTGACGCTCTAAGTCTCATGTGCGCGGCGATAAATTCTCCTCCGCCCGCATCCGCCACCGTGCCGCGAGGCACGAAGTGGAGCGTCCTCGTGTCCCTTCGTGCTCTCTCGCTGAGGAATGAAAGCTGTCTTTAAGGGCTCGGGCCAACAATTGCCAACAACACTGCGTCGTGATTCTCCGACGAGGACGTTGCGTGGCTTCCGCGCGCTCGCCTCCCCTGTCTTACTCATACGAGCGCCCGAGACGACCAGAAAGGCTGCCGAAGTCTCAGCTGGCCCTCGCCTAACTCACGCTGGGGCAGCCGCCGCAGTCGCCCTGGCCGTCCGACTTTGTCGGCCCAGCGCTAGCCGCACCCGTGCCAGCGGCGCCAGCGCCGCCGGCGCCCTGCCCGCCTGGGCCCCTGGGCTCCTGCTGATGCAGCAGGCGAGGCCATCCGCCGCCGCCGCAGCCGCCGCTGGCGTCGCAGGCGGCGGCGGCGGCGCTGCCGTCCTCCTCGCAGTCGTCGTCGGCGGCGCTGGCGGCGCTCGGCGTCGGCGTCGTCGGCGGCGCCGTCGGCGATGGCGGGGCGGGAGGGCGGGCGCGCGGGACCGGCCTGCCCGGGCCCCGGTTCCTCTCGATGCAGCAGGCGAGGCCGTCCGCGGCAAGCCTCGGCGCCCCCCTCCGCCTCTGTCCTGCCCTCTCGATTTTCGAGGAGGTTCTCCTGTTCTTCCTCCTCTCTCCTCCTCCTCCTCTTCCTCCTCCTCCACCTCCTCCCTCCTCCTCCTCCTCCTCCTCCTCCTCTTCCTTTTCCTCTTCCTCTTCCTCTTCCTCTTCCTCCTCCTCCTCCTCCTCCTCCTCCTCCTCCTCCTCCTCCTCCAGAGCCCTGCAATGCGCCCATCGGGGATCAATGTCTAGTTGCACACCCCAGTCGGCGGGTAGAGAGAGAGTCAACGCCAGGGGAGGGGATAGGAGGAGGAGGAGGAGGAGGAGGAGGAGGAGGAGGAGGAGGAGGAGGACGAGAGAGGAGGAGGAGAGGAGGAGGAGGAGGAGGAGAGGAGGAGGGAGGGAGGGAGGGAGGAGGGAGGAGGGAGGAGGCAGGAGGCAGGAGGAGGAAGGAGGAGGAGGAGGAAGGAGGAGGAGGAGGAAGGAGGAGGAGGAGGAAGGAGGAGGAGGAGGAGGGTGCGCTCTGACCAGGAACTCGAGGCGAACCTGGCGGCGCCGACGAGGGCCTCCCAGGAGGCCGAGGGAGGGGAGACCAGGGGGAAGGGTAGCGATATCGGTGCCACTTCGCGGACAATCGAACGTGTATCCTTGTGGCGCGTTTCTTCTTTTCGGGGATCTGCTGGCCCGGGTCAATCCAGGCACGGGTCAGTCAGGCTCTGCAGGATCCCGCAACATCCTGCAAGGCCCCTAGGTCCCTGCGCTCCAGCCCGGGCCCAGGAAACCCTAGCTCTGCAGGATCCTGCAATATCTGGTGCTCTGACTGGACTCCGTTTGCAGTGGCCCCCGCCTCTGATGCCCCGATCTCTGATCTCCCCATCGGGTGACTCCGAACTCCACTGCGCTTTTGTCGGGGGAGCGCAAACATGAATTAGCGATCCATGGATTTGGCGCGCTGTCGCCAAATCCATGGATCGGGGGAGGTGCCCTCCCCAAAATGCGGCAGGTGCCGCCTCGCTCGGCGGCGGAAATCCGCGACTTCCCATGGACACGGGACCCGTCGCTGATCCACGCCCCCTTGATCCATGCTTGCGATCGCCTGATTTTGCTGGGGCGGCGACGCCCACTGGGGCGCTGCGCTCCCAGGGACCACGAGCAGGCCGCGGCGCACCCGCGCGCGAGCGCGCGGCGGCGGCGCGCGCGTGCGCGAGCGGGGCGGCCGGGCGCCGAGTGCGCGAGGCTGCCCCTCGGAGGCAAGCACTTTCGCATATGTTCTGGGTTTTTGTCATCCCCCCCACGTTTCATACTTCCCCATACCCATACGAGTGCCCTGCGGGCGATAAGGAGGTTGGGGGGGATTGAAATCAAATGCCCACCCTAACTGACCTCCAGCCTGTCACCTTGATCTCATCTCTCTCTCTCTCTGTCTCTCTCTTTCTCTCTGTCTCTTTCTCTCTCGCCCTCTCTCTCTCTCTCTCTCTCTGGGAGATGGATTGGGTTGGGTGGATTGGGTTGGGATAAGGTGGATTGGGTTCCGACAAACATGAATTGATGGATTAGGTTGGGTGGATTGGATTGGATGGGGTAAGATGGATTGGATCAGATAAAATGGTTTGGATTGGAAGAGATTGTTTGGATAACATAAGATGGATTTGATTGGCCCGCCGCAGGCGCAGAAACAAATGAGTTGATGGAATGGGTTGGATGGATTGAATTGGGTGGGATAAGATAAGATGGGACAGTATGGGTTGGATAAGATGATATAGATTGGATTGGGCAAGATATATTGGGTAAGATAAGCTGGATTGGATAAGAAAGCCCGCCGCAGCGCCGACAAAACTCAATTGATGGATTGGATTGAGTGGATTGGGTTGGATTGGATGGGATAAGATGGATTAGATCATATAAAATGTTTTGGATTGGAAGCAATGGATTGGGTAAGAAAAGATGGATTGGATTGGCCCGCCGCAGGGGCAGAAACAAATTCATTGATGGATTGGGCTGGGTGGCTTGGATTGGGTGGGGTAAGATAAGATGGGACAATATGGGTTGGATAAGATAATATGGATTGGATTGGACAATATGTATTGGATAAGATAAGCTGGATTGGATAAGAAAGCCCGCCGCAGGCGCCGAAAACAATGAATGATGAAATTCGCGACATGCGTTAACGCCGGGACACCTGGGACACCCGGGACACCTGGGACACCGCCCGGATAAGATGGATTGGATAAGATAAGATGGGTTGGATTGGAAGATATTGTTTGGATAGCATAAGATGGATTTGATTGGCCCGCCGCAGGCGCAGAAACAAATGAACTGATGGATTGGGTTGGATGGATAGGATTGGGTGGGATAAGATAAGATGGGGCAATTTGGGTTGGATAAGATAAGATGAATTGGATTGGACAAGATGGATTTGATAAGATAAGCTGGATTGGATAAGAAAGCCCGCCGCAGTTGCCGACAAACATGAATTGATTGATTGGGTTGGGTGGGTTGGATTGGATGGGAAAGATGGAATGATAAAATAAGATGGGCTGGATTGGAAGAGATGGATTGGATATGACAAGATGGATTGGATTGGGCCGCCGCAGGCGCAGGAACAAATGAATTGATGGATTGGGTTGGATGGATTGGATTGGGTGTGACAAGATGAGATGGGACAATATGGGTTAAGATGGATTGGATTGGACAATATGGATTGGATAAGATAAGCTGGATTGGATAAGAAAGCCCGCCGCAGGCGCCGAAAACAATGAATTATGAAATTAGCAACATGCGTTAGCGCCGGGATGCCAGGGACACCCAGGACACCCGGGACACCGCCCCGCCCAACTGGGACACCTCCCGGCCACCGGCGGACGGGAAACGGACTTTTGCTCCTACTGACACCCGGGACACCCGGGACACCGCCCGGCCCAACTGGGAAACCTCCAAGCCACCGGGAACGGACTTTCGCTCCTACTTCGGCCTAGCTACAGGAGGATCACGCGCAGCTTCGCCTCGCCCGCACGCACGACACGAACACGAAACCGAAACCGACTTCCCAGTGGGGGGTCTCCGTTTCACTGCGATCTCACCCTCCAACCTCCGATTTTCACAGGGATCGATGATTCATTATGTCTGCGTGCTTTTTCCACTCCTGAATGATGTGTGTGTGTGTGTGTGTGCTGTCAGCTCGGTGGCCTGCAGAACGCGCGTCAGGTCGTCAACGCGTACGTGTCCGCCAAAGGCCTTCGGTACGACGAGAGTGGTGTCAGGAGAGCCGACGCAGCCCGAAGGCCGTCGGCGGCGCTGAGCGGGGCAATGCGCACATTTGAGCTGCCACATGTCCCGAATATCACCCGTCAGTGGGCAGAACAGTTGCTCTAAGAGAATGCTTACCCTCAGCGAGACTGTTCGCTTCCAGTGGCCTCCTCTGCCCGTCGCCGCCCCTACAATCAACCAGTATGATAAGGACGCACGATAAGGATGCAAG